TGGATCATTTTTAGCCTTTCGTTGAATCTTCTGACCTGTATAAACATTTTACATGAAGAAATTCAGTACTCAGGAAGCAAATCCAGGGCACTTTAAAAGGAATCTAATTTCAAAAATGCTCTTCAATTTTGCATTTGATATGCCAAAAACAATGGTAATGCAGCTTTTTAAATATTGAGCTTAACATAAAATGGGATTGAAATTGTTATGGCTTTATGATATTTTACAGTTTTTTGAAGAAATTATCATAGTTAACAGTTATCTTTCCTCAAGTATACAATGACGACCTTCTAAAAGTAATATTAATATGTACATAAATAAAATTGTACACATTAAACATACATTATGCAAGAGCCAAATCTGCCTATTGCAGGTCTTTCTTTAGACCTGAAATGTTATACAGTAAACTTTGCATTAGTTGGATCTAAGTGGACTGACCAATTTTATCCGAGTTAAGCGAAGACCTAAATTCAATCCTAGCTCGATTAGAAATAAACTGCAAGAGCCGGATAATAATTGATTCAAATGCACATTTCAAGCTTTTGTTTGTATGTGCGAGTAGATAACTTCCGTTTTTGTTGCTATCTTTGTATAATGTCCTGAATTCTATCAATGCGTTGCGTCAAATGGGCTGATTTGATTCAAAATGATGGAAGAAAGTATTTTGGGGCTCTGTGCATGGAATACCTAACCGCGTTTCAGACCATTGGGACAAAACTGACAGTGAAATTCTGAACATTCTGCTGATCTGACTTAAGCAAAGGAAAAAAGCTGGAATTATATCAAATGGACCAAACATTTTGATCCGAGCTGAGCAAAGATCTGACTTAGGAAATCCTACTTACGCGCAGAAATTTAATAAGAAAAACGTGCAGGATCAAAGGGTCCAAACGATTTTATCCGAGTTGAGTGAAGATCCGACTTCCACGAATCCGACTTATGCGAGGTTTACCGTATAAATTATTAATTAGATATTAATGAACTTAGCAAGACCATAATCAACTCTCGATATCATTGTATGGCTCCAGTATTTAGTAGATTTGAATATGTTTTGTGGTTGATGAAATAACCGTAAAAATGGATAATTAAGACTTTGTTTATTATCGTAACAACGGTAGTAATGACAATCGAGGCAGGGCCATAATTTGGTTTTATCACTACATGTATTATCTAGGCTCAGTGTGAAGTAATTTGACTTAATGAATTGTTGTCCCCCGCCTTTCGAAGAAAGCAGGGGACTATTAAAATGGGTTCGTCTGTCTGTCTGTCTGTCTGTCTGTCTGTCTGTCTGTCTGTCTGTCTGTCTGTCTGTCTGTCTGTCTGTCTGTCTGTCTGTCTGTCTGTCTGTCTGTCTGTCCGTCCGTCCGTCCGTCCGTCCGTCCGTCCGTCCGTCCGTCCGTCTGTCCGTCACACTTTTTGGGACACAATAACTCTCTTCCTAATTGAGCTAGAATGTTCAAACTTGGTGTATGTGTTGATTAGGTCAATGCCTTGATGGAGTTCGAAGATGAGCATTTTCCGCTTAGGGTAAGCAGAGATAAGCAATTTGATTGGTTGATGCTTTGGGACACGATAACTTTTAATTGAGCTAGAATGTTCAAACTTGGTGTATGTGTTTATTAGGTCAATGCCTTGTTCTAATTACGTGAGAGTGATGAAACTTGGTGTATAGTTTCATTACATCAATACCTTGACTAAGTTCGATAATGAACATTTTCTGCTCAGAGTAAGCAGAGCGATAAGCAATTTGATTGGCCGAGACGTTGGAACACAATACTCTCCTTCTAATTGAGCTTGAATGTTCAAACTTGGTGTAGGTGTTTATTAGGTCAGTGCCTTGATGTAGTGTGAGGATGAGCATTTTCTGCTTAGGGTAAGCAGAGATAAGCAAATTGATTGGTTGATGCTTTGGGACATGATAACTTTAGTTCTAATTAAGTGAGAGTGATGAAACTTGGTGTATAGTTTCATTACATCAATACCTTGACTAAGTTCGATGATGAGAATTTTCTGTTAGGCTATGGAGCAATAAGCATTTTGATTGGTAAAGACTTTGGAACATAACAACTCTTCTTCTAATTGAGGTAGATGTTCGTCTTGACTTAGTTCAATGATTAACATATCAAGCTAAAGCTATAAGCAGAGATAAGCAATTTCCTTGGTCGATGCTTTGGGACAAGATAACTTTGATTCTATCTGATAGAGAGTGATGAAACTTAGTGTATAGTTTATAATCAGTTTGATTGCTTGATACTTTTGAAAAAAATAGATGTGCGATTAATTAATTAATATGTGTCATCTATTTATTTGGGGATTTCGGCGGGGGACATCAGCCTCACTGTTGGCTTGTTGATTCATTATTTATGCACATTATTTTACTAAGAGAAAGAGGAATTTAAACCAAAGAAATAATTCTAGACAATTCTTTATCAAACTCCTCTGAGGAAGTCTGAAATATATAACCTGGTTAACCACAGACATCAGTCCAATCATTTATTTAGTTGTTTTAAACATCCATTATAATACCCTTACCGGTAATTCCCATATTACACCACTGTAGTTTCCAACTGACAAGAGCAGACAGTGTGTTTAACTTTTATTGGACATTTTACTCGTTTGTTTTTTTGTTTCAATGGATGACCTTACAAATAGCAGTATAGTTAAAGTAGTATTTTGATAAACTAAATTATTTGGGTGCAGGCTGATAACCTGGCTGTTTCGTACATAGTTCATTCGTACCTCAAATTGATTTGTACCGTTTCCTATATTGTTGAAATCAGTTGAAAGAAATTGAATATGCCGAACCAGAATTAGAATATGCACGAGATTTGTACCTCAAATTGATTAGTTCCTTTTCCTAAATCCAACGGCTGCGCTAAATTTATAAAAATGGCTGCCGAACGAGAATTAGAATACATACATGATTTGTACCTCAAATTGATTCATACCTTTTCCTATATGTTGTTGAAATAAATTGAAAGAAATTAAAATAAATCTATATGTTGTTGAAGGAAATTGAAATAATAAACGATTTGTGAGTTGTGATTATTGATGATAATTGATTGGTGATTTTATAAATTCAATTTCTTTTAACTGATTTCAACAACATAGGAAAAGGTACGAATCAATTTGAGGTACGAAGTGAAGTATGAAACGGCTCATGTGAGGTACGATTGAACTAAGTACGAAACAGCCAGGTTACGAAACAGCTGACATCCAATTATTTGGTGTTCTCTTATATAAATGTGCCTATTTGGGTACCATTACAAGGCCAAGTACATTAGTTGTTTGGTAAACAAATAAGAAAAACTTGACCTGTGATGCAGCATGGACAGGTTTCAATTATAACCTTTAAATGGCATCACTTCCTGTACCAATGAAATTGTTTAACAGATATCCATACAAGAAAGACATAAGTTTTAAAAACAATGGACAGCAAATACCACAGATCCAGTCATATTAACATCTGAGAACCTCAAAAGGTGAACCATTCTAAATTTGATATTTATTGGCGAAGGATGAGGTTAGAAACCATTCTGTGACATCTGCTTGATTGTACATGTATATTGCAATTCTATTTGTCAAATGAAGGTAAAAAATACTATTCTTAAAGAGTAACTAATAACACTCATTTGAAAATAAAAAGTATGTTTTAAAAGTTAAAAATACTGTTTTTGGCAATATTATTTCACTTTTGGTAACAATGGAAAGTTCTGATTGATTGTATGTAATGACAATCTGTATTAGGTATCAAATTCTGAAAAGTTTATTTAATTGAAATGTGGTCTTTATTGACGTCACCCTTGTCAGTCCATGAGCCATAATTGCTTGAAGACGCTCCAGATGCAAAAGTTAAAATCTGATTGCCTTTACATTTATACACAGTGTTTATGTTCATCAGACGAAGAAGCAGATTAACTCTGCAGTTACAATATGTCCCTTGTTGATCTTGTGAACACTTGGGAGGCTAAATGTATCCAATGTATTCCTACATTCTGTGCACAATTATAAATGCTTTCAAAAAATATATAAAATACATTAACATAAACAGAATTAGCCCTTGGCACCACAAAACCTATGAAATTGATATTTGACAAATTGCAGTGACTGTAAACCCTAATAAACCATCAAAGAAGGGAATTCCAATTGGGTGTGATACCTTCTGGAATGGTTGACTAAGTTACCCACACATGCACATCCTACTCGATCAATAAAAGTCGAAAGGTTTTTGTTTACAGAACAAGTGCTCCAGGTTTTCGTTTACAGAACAAGTGCTCCAGGTTTTCGTTTACAGAATAAGTACTCCTGTCAGTTGTATTTTGTAGTGTTAACTGCGTGTGCACTATGTAGAAACATCACACCCCCAAATGCATCTGGAATTAGTCATGGGGTATCAAATGATTACCTAAAGTCAAATAAATTTTTAATGAATTTAAAAATTAAAATGAACTAAACACTACCAACGGAGCCAATGAAATGGACAGTTTCAGGTGCCTTTAAAGGACTTGCATTTAACTCACCATGTATAAAATATTGAAGTGTTTATTATTTTGTTCAAAATTCTGATTGAAAAGACTCCTCACAGTGCAATCTAGTTTTTTAGATTTCTTGAATAATGTTCTTTGCAGTAATGCTATCCTCTCTAGGGACGGTGTATTGGAAATGAACTTCATGTTGTGCCATTGATTAATATTCCAGAAAAACTTTTGCTGACTAATTAAGTGTGCTTAGGCCCATTTTTTAGCGTGTGTTTTTCATGTAATGATACATATATACAATAAGTAATGTGTGAATTTCAGACCAACAAAACAAGTAGTATTTAATATCTGGAAAACTTGGATTAGAAACTGAATTTTCTTTCTGTCATCAGATATAGAAAATTTGTATTTGTTAATGTTTGCAAACTGTGGTTAAAACAGAATGTGAAATGAAGTGGGTGAATTTCACACAGAAACTGGATATGTATATCTGTTTGACAACATTACTATTATTTGTTTCAGTGTTTGGATTAGAACCAAGATTTAATGTGGTAACTCGTAATGTGACGATAATTAGCGGCCAGACAGCAGTCCTTCCATGTTCCGTTGATTTCCTTGGAGAATACAAGGTTGGTGAATTTTAAAAGTCAAAGATTGCAAATTAGTCACAATAATGGGAGCATCTGTCAATTTTAGTTACAAAACTTTTTTTTCAATTTGATGTACATGACAAGCATATAAGAAATGAGAAGATTTTAATTAAATACTTCTGCAGACAGAATTAGTGTAGATGTATACTGTTCTTTTTTTATATGCCCACATCACATTTTCATGTGGACATAATGTCACTGCCCCTGTCCATCATGGATTATGGCCCCAGATTGTATGTAGCTTGTGGACACTCTAGAGGTCACAATTTTTATCTGATTTTAAAATGTATGTTTATAACCCAAAGATCTTGGTTCCTTTCATTATTGGCACATATATCGGACTAAGTTCCTGGATTATCGTCCCTGATTGTACGAAAAATCACATATTTAGATTAGGGATCCTCTAGAGGTCACAATTTTCTTTTTTATACGTCCACATTCACAATGTGAACATATTATGCCGTCGCCCTCATCTGTGTATGTGCCTGTGGGTCATCTACGGGGTTCAATTCTTAATGGATTGTCTTGAAACTTTGTATACTTATTCCTTATACCATAAAGATGATCCCTATTGTTTTTGGTGCATGCGCAACTCCCAGGGGCAGAGCCACGCCCATTTTTTGTATTTGTTTGTTTGTCATATACAGGATGCAAAACGAATCATCTTGAAATTTTGCATACTTATATCCTAAGGATCACCCCTATTGTTTTTGGTGCATACCCAACCCCCAGGGGCAGATCCACGCTCACTTTCTCTTTGTGAGTCTGTGTGTCGCCTACAGGTGGAAATTCTTAATGGATCGTCTTGGTGCATGTCCCGACTCCTAGGGGCAGAGCAGCATCCAATTTTTGTGTTTATTTTATACTGGCCGTAATTCTGAATGGATCATCTTCAATCTTGGCATATGCATTCCTTATAGCCTAAGGGCGGCAACTATTGATTTTGGTGCATGTCCCGACCCCAGGGGCAGAGCCACGCCCATTTTGTTGTGTTTAGTGTCTGAAGGCCACAATACTGAATGGATTATCTTGGAACTTAGTATACTTATTCCTTATACCCCAGCAACTATTGATTATGGTACATGGCCTACCCCCCTTGGGCGGTGCCACACCCACTTTGTTAATATTTTGTCTGTAAATAATCTACAGGTTGCCATTAACATATTTGGATCCAATTCATTATGGTCCATCATAGAGTTGTACCTATATATATTGGTCCATGTCCAACCCCCAGGGGCAGAGCCACGCCCAATTTTGCATTTTTTGTCTACAGGCTGGAATTCTAAATCTGAATGGATCATCTTGGAACTTGGCATATTTATTTATACTAGAAGAATGCCCGGCTTCGCTCGGGGGTCGTAACCCCGAAACCGGAAGTGGTAGACTAACGCCACCTGGCCTATGTTACTCCCCGGTCCGAGCTACCCCTATACCCCAATTTTCAGACTCGGGGCAGACCTAGTGTAGCCGCAAACCCCGAACAGACAGACAAATGACAGTCACAAATATTAGTATAGATACCGTAAGAATAGCTACTATTGGTGCATGTCCCGTCTGTAAATTTGGCGAAAAAAACCCAACGCCTAGCCTTCATTATTTTAAAAAGTACCATATATTGCAGTGATAGCGATGCTCTCGTTATTTTAAAACCATTCAAGTATATCACCATTACGCGTCCTGTATCTGACTGAAATTACCCGAAAAAAAAGGTAACTGTAAACAAATAGTGTAAAAGTATGTAATACCATGGTTATAGACCGTCGAATCTAGATGTTACAATTTTTATACGCCCACATTTTCATGTGGACATATATTGCCGTCGCCCTGTCCGTCCACAATTGTTTGTGTACACTCTACAGGTCACAATTCTTATTCGATTTTGACGAAACTTGAAATATGGGTTTATCTCTAAAAGATCTTGGCTGCTTTCGATATTGGCATGTATTGGATCGAAACTTCATGGATTATGGCCCCTGTTTGTATGAAAAATCACATTTTTAGCTTAAGGAATGGTCACAATTTTTATTTGATTTTAAAAACCGTTCACACCATAATTATGGTTGAGTTTGAAATTCGTGAAAATCAGGCCGAGACTGTCTGACAAAATGACTGCTCCTCTTTACGAAAATAGTATAATAAGCATGTAGTAACATGGTTGTGGAACCTCAAGAGGTCACAATTTTTATCCGATTTTAACAAAACTTAAAAATATGTTTATATCCCAATATTGTGTCCTTTTTCGATATTGGCTCATGTGGGGTCGTAACATCCTGGATTATGGCCCCTGATTGTATGAAAAATCGCTGTTTTAGCTTGTTCTCTGTCCATTTCTTGCAAAATGTGGGCACATCTTACATGGCAACCGCTTGTTTTACATCCTTAGAATATCTACTGGGACAAAATAACAGATAAAAGTGAGCAATTCTCTGTATCAAAATAAATATGTGTCCTAATTGTAATGTTTTGTCACTTTTATTTTGGTAATCCCTGTTTTTATTGATGATTATCAATAGGATAATGTAAGGGACAATTGATGTTCCATGTAGTATAAAAAAATTATAAAAATATATACAAATGTTAATGAAAAATAACCTTAATCAGGCTTCCATAAATTATATAACATTACATGCTTACAAGTACATTTACATACATAAACATTTTTCTTTCATTCCATCATTCATTCTTCGTGTTCCTTACCTGTTTTTCAGAGATCTTCATCGAGAAACAAGAAAATATAAACTAAAATATTTTAAGAATATAACCGTTTCATTGGCTGTTAGCCAATATATTTGAATTATGCTATGATTTGCACTTGAATTTGAATAAACGATTTGTGAAAACTTAATGAACATGGTAAAATAGTTGTTGGTGTATGGCCACATGTAGGTGTTTGTAGCTGTAGTTGTACTAAAAATGTTGTATCAATTAATTCATAAACCCACAGATGTTCTGGTATTAGATTAAATTATGAAATTCCCTGAACTAGAAACTAGCAGCAACGTATTTACTACAGATAGAAATGATGGCACCTGTGGGAATTATAATGAAAGAAAATGTATCTTTTGATGAATCTTGTGCTTAACTCCTATCTTTGTTTTTAACTGATGATCAATGTGCAACTTTTTGTACCCACGGAACTCCAATTAGATTTAATCTTTTTAAAGAGATTTAGAAAAAAGCAAAAACAAGACATGATATTCATGTTACATTTAACGCAAATAAAATTTTCCAATTCTGTTAATAGAGAATAGAGAATGAAATTAATTAATTGCATTATTACATTTTAATAGAAATGTAGTTGAAAAAAACCAAGTAGAACCTACATATATGGTATATAGTGTTGTTAGCGGCCATAGTCTAGCCAGTAGAGAAAGCTTAAAATATTTTAGTTTACATTTTCTGAAAAACATAACTGCCTGCAGGAACTTTATTTGACCCTAAAATAATGAAGTAAGTCTGAATGGAATTTTAGATATTTGAGGGTGGATTTAGCCAGTTGGACATCAAGCTTAGTTTTGAATTTTTACTGTTATCCCAAAAAATTGGAAATCAGAAATGCCCGAAAGAAATGTAAAATTGACAGTCAATTGAAATCACATATGTATATATATTTATATTTTACTTTAAGGCCCCAACATTCGAGAATGAAGGTTGAATAGAGTTGAAGACCATACAAGATCAAAAATACTTTTATTAAAAAACAGTTTATTCTAAAATTATTCAGCTTGTTCATTTCTAAATTAATGGTGGCTATTTAGTGTCTACATTGCTTTCTATTGATTTTACTCTATCATTTTATGTAGAAGTCAGCCCTTTCTTATAATTATAATTAACAACAGTTTTTACATTAAAATAGTACATATTATTTTGTGTTTTAAAATATTTATATTTGTAGTTTCATCTTTGTAAATACTCATGACAATTAGTGTATAAATTAAGATAATTGGCTATATATCTGGAAGAAACAAAATATTCAAGCCCCATTTTATTACTATAATTTTTGTTAGCAACAGTACCTTTTTTTATTATAAAAACTATTGTGCATATTTGTACCAAAAAAAAACCCAACCGTCAGAGGGACGTGTGTGAATTTGATTAGTTGGTTCATCCTATTGATGACAAGAGAGTATAGATAGACACTTTAATACCCATTAGAATTATGTCTTGTCATCTCTTTCAATTATAGCTATTTCTTGAAGGTAGTGTAAATCTCACGGGACACTCTCTGCTCCATAATCATGAATTCATTGTCGGTAAACGTTTCGAGAGAAGCATGATAATACTGCTAGTTGTCGTTAACTCTCAAATAAAATCATCGAACATACATGCCTAGCTTTCCAATATTTACTCAGTAAATCCAATTAGATGAATTATACTCCTTTAAGCCCTGATTGTTTGTAAATTCTTCAGACGTTACCATTTGCCGTACATAATGGCTTCTTACAAACATATAAGTTACAGCCCTACATTGATTTTCTCATTTCTAGTGGCAACATGGTGCTTATGTGTAACCAATTTCTTCCTAATGCTTGACTATCATAATTAGCTCTGATTCATGAGTTTTTGAGAGGTGTAATAGTTAAGTACCCAACACCGGATAAGCGATAATACCCAGCTTTTTACCCAAACTAACAATTTACACTAAAATCTTCATTCATATTCTCAGTTTGATTACTTAAAAAGTTTCACGAGGTATCATTACGACTTCCGCAAACTTGCAGAAGGAGCCTTTCAGTGAAATTCCATTCCTTCCAATGTTGACACCTTCTTAAACTCCAGCTGTTCTTCTGCATTACAAATTTATATTAGTGGAAAATTGATTGGTTTTAACTTGAATTATCTGGCCATTTGCATTTCAGTTTTATTTGAGATTTATTCCATTGATTTGCTGGCATTATGGCTGGTCACTATGTGTTAATATAGAAAATGCAGATGATTTGATTGCTGTGATAGAGTCTGCATCTGTTAATAAATGATGT